CGTGGCGCAGTGTGGCGTGGCGTGGCTCGACAAGCGCACCGCTCGACGCACGAGGGTAAACGGGGTACGGAGGTGGTAGGTAATCACCCGGCGGCTCGCGTTATAGCGTCGTTACGCCGCAGCGCCGCTATCGTACTCGTCTCCCTCCGCCTGCCAACACCCGCTGCGTTTTCTCCCGATCCCTCGTAACGTTTTCCACCCGTCTATCCCTCCCACTTCGACTATCCTTTGCCGCCGCGATCTTCTCTCTATCTTTCTCCGATTTAATGCTCGCCTAGCTGTTCGCCTCTTCTCTTTCTTTTCATTCTTTCTCTCTCTCTCAGTCTTCCGATCGTTTCGGATTCTTCTCATCTACCCACGGCTACCCACCACCATCTAAGCAGACGAGGTGGCTGTTTCCTTTCACACTACCATTTCCAAGAGGAATACGGTTATGTCTCCTCGCAGTGGAGTTGTGTGTATTTTTCAAGAAGTCTGCATTACTTTCGTCATTTCATTAATTCACGTTTTAATTAAAAACTAATACGTAGTTCAAATGTGCACGATACTAGTGTTGGTTGATACCGTTTAAATATGTCTTCGTTTCTGAAGATTCCAATCAATCTATTTCTGTTCTATTATAAATTATATGATTAGAACTTGATTTTTTATCGCATTTAAATTGTCTATATTTGTGCATATTTAAGAAAATAAAAAAATAAGCTAAAATAAAATATTTATTTACTTTGTTTCTTTCAGAAATTAATAAATAACATGAATCATTTAGAAATTGAACTAAGAAATTTTGCTTTTTATGAATTTTGAATTTTTTGCATTAAATATTCTATTTCTGAGAAACCAAATGATTTATGTTGATAATTTTGATCAGTTTGATTTTTCTATATATTTCATTGTATTTTAAAAACTCTTGATACTTATTTTTTTTCATATCTATCAATTATTTATTTTTCTCAAGTTATTAGTTATTTTTTTCTCAAAAAATAATCTTAATTTTTCACAAAATTAATATCCTAGTTTTATAGAATTTAGATCAGAGATATATTAAAAATAAATAACAGAAATAAAAAATGAAAAGAAAAAAAATATCAATAATACTGGACTCGGTAAGAAAATTTGATAAACGATTATCAATGAATTGATAAACGAAGCAGGAGAAGGGGAGAAAGAGAGAATGTAATAAAAGTATGTACTTTTACTTAGTTAAATCTTTGAAAAGAATGCAACGAATGAACAAGATTGTTGAATCGAGGAGGAAAAATGCAGACGTGAGAAGATCGGTGGAGGTAAAGAGAAAGATAGAGAGATTTTACACGTCGCGGTGAAGCGACAGGATACATCTCTTCCAGGTGTTCGTCTATAGATGATACCCTTCGACTCTACGTGCCCTCGTAGATAGTACCACTGGCGGTTTCAGTCACGCGCGCTGGCGAGCTCGCACACTGTTATAAAAGTCTATTCGTAGAGAGGCATACATACGAAGCCATAGTCACCCTCCTATATCCCCGTTCTCCAGCTCGCAGCGTGGCAACCCTCGCTCGACCGACGTGTTCCCGCCCTCTCCGTGTTTCCGCGGCCCGTTCCAACCACCCCGTTCCGTGTCCCGCAGGGCATGTCCCTATACACCACTGACTTACTATTGTCCGCACTGTCATTTATGCATGTGATTCCATTATTTATCCTAAATCGTAAAAAAAAATTTTTCTCTCTGATTCATTCTTTGAAATGGAAAGTAACCTTTACGTAAGATGCATATGCTCATTAACGTGCGATTTAATTTTTTTACGAAATTTCAATTTGAATCAGTTGCGACAATAATTTTCCAACCTGTGGAAAATTCTCATCCCCTTTGGTGGCACGCTCCGCGGCACGCCCGACCGTCTCTGTTATACTGCCGGCAGCGACCCAACTCCCCTACCCCTCGACTCTTCGCTCGCCCATCCCAATGCTACCTCACCCTACTTTGGTCTCCTGCTACCGCTTTCTACCCCTGCCGCTGTTCTCGTGCTCACACTCTTACACTCTCTCTCTCTCTCTTTCTCTCTCTACTGTATTTTATCTCTCTTTGTCTTTCCTTCCATAACTCTCTTTCTCCTTTTCTCTCTTACTGTTTTCCATCTTTCTCTTCTTTTTCTCTTTTGTCTGTCGTTTTCTCATTCTTTTCTTTTTCCTCGCTCTCACCACCTATCTATCTATCCATCCATCCATCTGTCTCACCCTCGACCTCCATCAACCTACCTACAGACTTTGGGAGACCCTACCCACCTCTCTTTTCCTTTCATTCTCAGAGTCTCTCTCACTCTTAACTTTCCTATCTATCTCTTTACCCCGCCGTCGCGCACTCTGCGAGTCGCTCGTTAACCTGCTAGCGCCCCTATAAACCGCCGTTGCACCGCCGCTACCGGTGCCGCTATATTTACATATCAATATTCTATGACCGTGTATCAGCCAGATACGTCGCTAAGCAGGATGCATACTTTTCTGATGTCGATATGTGTCACGCATTTGTGTGTGTTTTTACTTTTTTTTTTTAGTGACCGACTTGAACCTAAGCATTTGTCATTTTTTTTTTTTTAATTCTTTAATATTATTTGATTCAATGATTAAAAAATGATATGATAAAAAATATTATTTAAATAATCGAGATAAGAATGGATTTATTCTAAAGAACATTCTAAAAGAACATTTAACTTATCTCTTTTCAAATTTAGTATATATAATCATCTAATTCTCGAAAGAATTAAAAATCGAAAGAATAATATTTTGTTTTTATTTCTATCTTAATATATAGAATTTAGAATTATATAAAGTATATATAGAATCTAAGTTATAGATGAAATGTTTGAGTAGATTTAAAGGTTTGGTTAAATTCCCTATTTTTTCCTTTTAAGCGCATTTTTTTCCATAAAGCGCATTTTCTTTCATCAATCAAACGAAAAGTGACTAGATTTTTAAAATTTAATCAGCTTTTCTCACGATAAAATACGCGTGCGCGTTTACAATATATCTCTGTATGCTAATTTTAAACGTTTCCTTAACCTGCCTATTTATAGACGTCCGACTCTCGAGACCCTTTAAAACGTCTCACTGGTCCATTTGTCGCTCGAAAGCGCCACGAATAATTTAACGGTTCACTTTGAAACCGGGCCGCGCACGCTGCACGCTCGCACGACCGCACGCTTGCACGTCAACTCACACACTATACTATGGAGAGAGATCCACATTCAAGGGAATACCACTGCAAGTTCGAATGATTTCACTAAGCTTACAGATTCTTTTGCTTCTTCTCGTTTATCGAACAAATGCCAATTAAGCTTCGTTTTCGATCACATTTTTTATTTTTATTTTATAATTAATACAATTTTATAATAACACAAATTTATTTATTAATATTTTCGTGTAATAGATCTTTTTAAATTCTATAATTAATTTCTTTTAATCTTTAAAATATTTCACGGAAATATAACATTTCTTATCTGATATTCTTTGTCAATTTCGTAATTATTTACTTTATTAAAATTTCGCAAACGCGTGCGTAGATTAGTTTTCTTTTTTCACTAGTTTGTGTGTAAGTAGTTGGCACGATACCCTAGAAAAATAGTTCTTTTGATATAAAATATATAATATATTATAATAAAATATAAACAAAGATTAAGTTATGTTAATTTAAACAATTTTTAATGTTTTAATATTGAGTTCCTATAAAAATTTATATAAATTTGTTTCTGTTGTCAATAGATAAATATAATAATTAATTATATAAAAGACAAATATATAATTTAACCTAAATTATAATAAAATGTTTACGTAACAAAAAACATGAAATCAAAATTTATATTCTATGTTAGATTATTCATTTATTAAAAAATACTGGTACGTATGTAAATTTAATTTTTTTTTAATTTAACAAATATTATGGGTATTATTTTAAATAAATAAGTATTTCTCATACTAAATCTTATCATGAATAGTTAAATTTAATTTGAATTCAACTATATTAATAAAGTGCATTATTTTCTTCAAAAAAATTAAAAATTACAATTTAATTCTCAATAGCTTAATATGTACACATTATATATTATAAAATTTGGTTACATAAATCAGTTAAAAAGAAATTTGTATAAAATAAGATCGAAGAATAAGCAAAAGAAATGTGTAAAATAAAGAGGTTGGAAAGATAGCAAGACTATGGGCAGGTCTGGGTTAGGAGGTGCGGTGAAAAGCGGCTCGAAGGTAATAGAGCGGTGCAACGAGCAGACACCTCGCAATTTGGCTAATGGCTTCCCACTGGTATCGTGGTGGCTCCAGATACACGAATACGCAACATACGCTAGCTACTTTTCTCGCTCTAACACAATCTATACTCTTTGTTCTCCTAGTTTGATATACTTTTACTTTGGAATTTGTCTTATTCGTACTTTCGAATATCGATAAAAACCTTCAATCTCTTTATTCACATAAATAAATCCGGAATTTTTCAAAGTGTATAACAGTGATTTTTTATATTCTATGGAATATTAATGTTTTGTGAAATTATGAAATTCGTGTATTAATTAGAATATACGATGATGATTGTTTTATTATTAATTTCTTATTATTGCATCAAAAAACTTATTAATATTGTCAATTTATA